TTTGTGTAGTACATAATGATATATCACTATATATTCATCATGGGGAGTTGGTACATATAATATGATATTGCTTAATTCTTTTTTTCTAACCCTCTTCCCTCCCTCCCTTCCCTTCCCCTTCTCCTAGCCATGTGTATGTATATATACATATACATTCATATATATATATGAATATATATATATACGAATATAAATATATATACATTCATATATATTTATATATATATATTTTATACATGTTTTAGTACATGATGATCATGTTCCTTGTAGGGACTTGGTCCATGTACACAGCACTTACAATCCTCCCCACTTTTTAATCTCATTTTCCTCCCCCCCTTCCCACTCCCTATGTCTTCCAGTTTCCTTCTCATCTGCCAAAGATCTATCTTGCTATTCTCTCATCTATTTTTTATTTTGCACTTTATTTAAGCTTTTATGTCTGATTTACTTCACTTAACATTATGGTCTCACAGGGCATCCATTTTCCCATAAATGACTCAGTTGATTCTTCTTTATGGAGACACACAAAATTTAAAAATACAGGAACCATCTGAGGAAAGCTATAAAACTCGGGTGAAAGAAATCAAAAATCTAAATAAACGGAGATATTTCATATTTATGGATGGGAAGAGTCAATATTTTTTTTTCTTTCAGTACTGGGGATCAAACTCAGGACCTTGCACTTACAAGGCAGGCGTGGCACCACTGAGCTAAATCCCCAGCCTTAGGGAAGAGTCAATATTTTAACATGTCAATTTTTCTTAACTTAATTGTACATCCCAAAATGCAAATTACATTTTACATATTAACAAAACAAATCTAATGTTCGTGCAAAAGACAAAAGACCCAAAATAGCCAGTACAGTACTGAAGATCAAGGTTGGAAGATTGATACAACCCAACTTCAAGATTAGACTTACTGGGGCCGGGGGTTTAGCTCAGTGGTTTCACTGCCTGCTTCACAAGCGCAAGGACCCAAGTTCGATCCCCAGTACTCAAAAAACATAAATAAAATAAAGATTAGACTTACTATAATCCTATGGTGAGCCGAACAACACAAACAGGCCAAGAGATCAGTGAAACAGAAGAGACAAAGAATAGACCAAAAGATCAAAAGAATAGGATAGAGAGCCAAACAGATCCATATAAATATTGTCAATTGATTTCTGACAAAAGAGCAAAGGCAATTCAGTAGAGAAAGGATAGTCTTTTCAACCCATGATGCTAAAATAAAATGTTCATCTACATGCAAGGAAAAAAAAGATTCTAGATAGACCTTATAGCCTTAAAAAAAAAAAATGAACCCAAAACGGATCACAGACCTAAATGTAAAATGCAAAAGTACAAAATTCCTAGAAGATAACACAGAAGAAAACCTAGGTGACTCTGAGTATGGCAATGACTTTCTTTTCATTGAGACAAATTCTTGTTATGTAGTTCATGGCCATGAATTTGCTATGTAGCCCAAGCTGGCCTCTCCTGCCTCAGTCTCCCAAATGCTAGCAGTGCCACCACATCTAGCTGGCAAAGACTCTTTAAATACAACCCAATGGCAAAATATATGAAAGAAATAATTGGTAAGCTAAACTTCATTAAAATTAAAAATCTCTGACCTCTGCAAAAGTCAAAGAAATGGGAGAGAAGATGAGCCAAAGACTGTAAGAAAATATTTACAAAAGAAACAGAACTTGTTGGGGCTGGGGATGTAGCTCAGTGGTTTCACCACCTGCCTTGCAAGTGCAAGGTCCTGAGTTCGATCCCCAGTACCAAAAAAAAAAAAAAAAGAAACAGAACTTGTATATCTAAAATATACAAAGAACTTTGAAAACTCAACAGTTTTTAAAACCCCAATTTTCAAATGGTCAAAAGATCTGAAAATAGACTGAATAATATATTACAGATGACAAACACATGAAAAGATACCCAACACCATATGGCATAAGGGAACTGCAAATAAAATCTGAACAATGAGATGACTACAACACAAGGAAAAAGAATTAAGATGTGTTATGTACGTGTACCACCTCCCCATGATGAATGTAATCATTATGTACTGCAAACACGTACTATTTAAAATAAAAAAGAGATACTACAACACACCTATTAAAATGAGGCAGGCAGCGGAACCACTGAGCTAAATCCCCAGCCCTGACACCCATTAAAATGAATAAAAACAACTGACTATCAAATGCTGGCAAGAATGGAGAAAAACAGGAACTCTCATTGTGCTTTTGGGGATGCAAAATGGGTACAGCCATTTTGGAAGACAGTTTAGTGATTTCTCATAAATAGGTTTATCATATAGTACAGCTATTGCAGTACTAGGTATTTACTCAAAGGAGCTTAAAACTTATGTCCCATAGAAACAGGTATACAGATGTAACAGATTTTTAGGTGCCAAAAGTTGGAAACAACCAAGATGTCCTTCAACAGAAATGAATAAACAAACTGATACATTCCTAAACAGAAGTTTGTTACTTTGTTTGCTTTGTAGTTCCATGGCTTGAACCCAGAACCTTACGCCTACGAGACAAGTGCTCTACCACTGAGCTACATCTCTAGCTCCATGAATAGAATTTTTTTCAGTGATAAAAAGACATCACATCAATCACACACACACACACAGAGAAAAAACCCATACAGAAACCTTAAATGGCTACTGCTAAGTGAAAGAAGCTAACTTGAAGGGGCATAATAACAAATCAGCAGTTGGCAGAGGTTAGGAGTGTATGGAGGGAAGGTGGATGGATGAATAGATGAAGTACCAGGAATTTTATGGTGGTGAAATGATTTTTTTAAATAATATAACGGGGGTAAATGACATTATGCATTTATTAAAATACACAGAACTGAATAACAGAGTGAATCTTAATGCAAATGATAGACTCATTCATAATAACATATCAATATTTATATATGAGTTCTAAGAAATATACCATACTAATGCAAAATGTTAATAATAGGGAAACTATCTTAGGGTACAGGGGGGTAAGGAAGGACAGGTAGGGTGATAAGTGGGAGTCTTATTTGCTCAACTTTTCTATAAATAATAAATCTAAATTGTTCTAAAATACAAAGTCTTATTTAAAACAAAACAGGGCTGGGGATTTAGCTCAGCGGTTCTGCCGCCTGCCTTGCAAGCACAAGGTCCCGAGTTCGATCCCTGGTACCAAAAAAAAAAAAAAAAAACCACACATAAAACAAAACAGCAATCAACGTGATTGTGAACTACAGTCAATAGCAAATCATACTGTATAAAATCCAAGTTATAAGGCAGTGAGCTACAAGTGTTCTACCTATGTCGTTTTATTAAACTCTTTCGATAACCCTGTCATTCAGTTACTTGTTCCAATTTACACATAAGATTTAGGCACATTAAGTAACTTCTCCCAAAATTATAAATATGAGTGACCAAGGGAGGATTCAAACTACATGTTAATCCCAAGGCCCATATCCTTTATTATTACCACAAAAAACTCTTTCATGATATACACTTTCATCTTTTCCCATTAGTAAAAAAATCCACAGATTTACATCTTCTTATCTTTTTTATTGGTATCGGGGATGGAACTAGGGACCTTGTGCTTGAGGCAGGCAGCAGAACCACTGAGCTAAATCCCAGCCCTTTTTTTTTTGATAGGATAACAAAGTAGATATTAGAAGAAACTCATCCATTTTTGTTTTCCTTTTTTCAAACTGGCTGAAATTTAAGTTAGAGGCAGTCCTGAACACAGGAATAGCTCTCCTGCAAGCAATCTCTGACCTCATCCAAAAGCTAGAGCACTAGCTATCTATGCAGGCACTGCACTCACTGAGAAAACATTCTATAGAATAGATTCAGAAAGGATCTCAGTTTTTTTTATAGGTGCCCATTTCACTTCAAATTATTCTAGTTACAGAAAAATTTTTTTCCACTTTATCTAGTATTTTCCCCCTCCGACATTTCATCAATGAAATTTTCATTGGAAGTAATTAATATTTTCACTATAAAAGAAAAAACTGGAGAACGTCACCCTTTAACAAATTTGTGTAAGTTTAAAGAACAGGTTTTTTTAAAAGATGAGTTAAAAACAGCTAGCCTGAGGGAATGGAGTTTAATCTGGAGTGAGAAAGCAAGTACAGTATTTGTGAGGTTCAGAAAACTCAGAGGAATTCCACAGTCCACTGAAGACTGAGGGAAGAATGAACATCTGGGGGAAGTACACTAGTAAAGGAGTGGAGAGGATGGTGACAGAAAGCCACACACGAAACACTTTCTTCACAATTTTTCCCAGACTTAGATTCTGCCAATACAAGAAAGATAACTTGAATTTCTAAACTCAATTGTAGGTTAAACTTTTTGTGGTTACAAAGGTAAATTACTACTTAAAGTTGTTTCTGTTTATAAAAAGTGGGTTTTAGGGCCAGAGATGTACCTCAGTGGCACCGTGCCTGCATTGCAAGTGCAAGATCCTGAGTTCGATCCCTGGTACCAAAAAAAAAAGTGGGTTTTTAATATGACTACTGATCTAACCTACCGTTGAAAGGGAGATTAAAAGCACATTTTTAAAGTTATAAACACCCTTTCAGAAAGATAATTTGCAATGCGAAGTATTATTCCTCTCATTTCTTTCATCAATTAACATTAACTTTCTCCAATCCTGACAACTGAAGATGACTAAAAATACAAAGTTTCCTATCTATCCTCAGTGTCGGTATGTGCTATAAATCAGTGATGGTAAACCATGTAGAGTTTCCAATGATAACAGCCAGCTGCAGCATCCTGCCATAGGTTCACCCCATTGCTATAAATTATTATCCCTAACTCCCAATTAACTGTTAAAGTTTTTATGAATAAAGATATTAACAAAGTACGTATAAAATGTTCTTTTCTAACTGGTAACCCTAAAGAGAACAAAGTTCCTACACAAAGTATAATTTGACTTTTCAAAATTAGGTCACACATGATAGTTAACTTTTATAAAGCTGTTACTTTCAATGAGATAAAAATTAAATTATTACCTCAGGCAGTGGCTGAAGTTTAACTTCCAGGCCTCAAGCATTCTACTACCCCAGAAATGCCTTTTGTTTTCACAGAAGTTCTTCTTTTCGGGGGCACTAAATCGTAGTAAGTGTATCTTCATTTATGTGAAAGCTACAATTGTGTCTTCACAGCAGCACTTTCTCTGTAATGAGAAGGTATTCAATGTATATTCTGTTTTTCTACACACAAATAAAACCAGTAATTTCATTATACAGGTTTTATTTTTTAAAATAGCCATTACCTGCCTCATATGGTAGAACCATCAATCACTCAGTTGAAGAGACCTAAAGACTAAGGTTGACTTTACAGGTAAGTGCAGGTGTCTTGGGGTAGGTTTTTTAACTTCTCTGTGCCAGATTCCTTATCTAAAATTAGGGATTTGCACTAAGGTTTTCATTCAATGCTCACACTCTATAACTACTACTGAAACAAAGGCCTCTGTAGTAATTTAACATTTTTTTCTCAATGAAAATATTACTAATAGATCTTTTTGAGCACAAAAAGCTTGAAAATAAAAGGTCCCTTTTCTATCCTCCCTTTCTCATCCTAAGAGTAACAAACTTCTTTCCTTTTTTTTTTTGTCGTACTTGGGGTGAAACCCATGGATTTATATATGCTAGGTGAGCAGTCTAGCACTGAGGCGTATCTCTAGCCCAACGAATTTATTTATTTATTTTTTTTGGTACCAGGGATCGAACTCAGGACCTTGCGCTTGTGAGGCAGGCAGCGACACCACTGAGCTAAATCTCCATCCCCCAACAAATGTATTTCTTAAGCAAGAAGTATTCAAAAGAAGTGAAAACGAACAAAGCATTTAGCATGGAGTCAAAACAGTTAATAATTAGCAAAGCATTCAATTTTTTTCACAAACTCCTTTCTAGAATGTTTCATATCATTCTACAAAAGTAAATTTTATATTAAAAGATTAGGAAGAAACTGTAAAATTAGTTCTTCAGTGTTTTTATTTATAGGAAGGCCTTTTTGTTGTTTACATAGTGAATGCATGCCAGAGAGGAAAAGACTATGCAGGCTTTAGTCACTCAATTCTCTGTAAAGTATCATACTTGGGATATCGCTGTTTTTATTTTGTTCAACAGCAGTTCTTTCTATTTGCTCAAAACTTTAGAGGTAATTTCTCTGGTGTAACTTCTAAAAAACTTTACATTGTCTCTACATTGGCTTATGTTGCTTAATTTTCCCCATAGACTCCTCTGTGTTAAATTCATGTTGCCCTTTCCAGCAGTGACCACCTCTCCACGAGAACATGCCTCTGGAAAAAGACCTCCTTCATCCCTCTCTGGAGAAGAGGAAGCACAAGAAGAAGTGCCTAGTGCAGAGCCCCAATTTCTACTTCATAGACACGAAGTGCCCAAGATGCTATAAAATCACCACAGTCTTTAGTCATGCACAGTCGGTAGTTTTGTGTGTTGGCTGCTCCACTGTCCTCTGTCAGCCTACAAGAGGAAAAGCAAGGCTTACAGAAGGATGTTAATTTGGGAGGAAGCAGCATTAACAGTACCCTAAATCAAGATGAATGGGAACCATCCCAATAAACATATTTTGGATATAAGTAAATAAATATTTTTATCTGTTGTTGGTATGATAATGCATACCTGTAATCCCAGCACTCCTGAGGCTGAGGCAGGAGGCTGAGGCTGCGGCTGCTCCAAGTTCAAGGCCAGCCTGGGCTACATAGTCAGTTCAAGGCCAGCCTGAATTACACAGCAAGATTCTATCTCAAAAAAAATTTTTTTAATCTGTTAAAACTAATAACCTGAGGATAAATCCCCAAACAGGACTATTTAAGGATGAAGTCACTTGAAGCTTAGACTTGGTTTCTTTCCATTCCAAGTATGTACCTTGTTAATGTCCCAAGATTTAAAAAATTCTCAAATCTATTCAATATCAGTGTCAGATTTTATTAGTAGCTACAATAAGGTAAATAGTATACTGTTTCTTTTATAATATATACAACACTACTATGGATCACTGGTGTCCAAATCAAATCAAGACTACTAAATTCACAAATATTTTAGTCAGCTTACTTTTTCTTTTTTTTTGGTACTGGGAATTGAACTCAGGCCTTGAACTTTCCAGGCAGGCACTGCACTGCTGAGCTACATCCCTGGCCCTAATAGGATTACTTTTTAAAAGGATGATTCTGGAACTTATGTGCTAAATCAACATCAAAATTTTAAATGTATGCATATATATATTTTATTTCTGAATTTTAGTTGTTATTGTTTTTTGTTTTGGGTGTAGGTCCCACACATGCTAGGCAAGTGTGTACTGCTACAGTACGCTCCCAGCCCTTTTTGTTTTCAGTTAAAAAAAAAAATCTCTGGTATTCACAATGTCTCTTTTCTCTTATTTAAGGTTCACCTTCCCTAAAATCTTCTCCATAATCTTGGTTTCTGTCCATTTCTTACCATGCACTTACCCCTTTGCTCTCTGAGGACTTATGACTTTGAGGTACAGTTTATTATATTTATAGATAAGACAACCAAAACTGTCAAGTACAGTAGTGCACCCAACTGCTATCCTTGGGAGATATGTTTCAAGACTTCCAGTGGATGCCTGAAACCACAACTGAATAGAGTCCCATATATGTATTGTTTTTTCGTATACATACATAGCAATGATAAAGTTTAATTTATAAATTAAGCAGAGTGACAGATTAAAAATAGAGCAATCATAACAATATACTATAACAGTTTTGTGACTATTCTTTTTTTTTTGGTTTTTTGAGGCAGGGTCTCCCTTTGTAGTTCAGGCTGGCCCTGAACTATGTAGCCCAGGCTGCCCTCGAACTCAGGGTGATCCTCCTGCCTCAGCCTCCCAAGTGCTGGGATTACAGGTGTGCGCCACCACACCCAGCTTATTTTACTGTATTGTATGTAGACCTTAGCCTCAGCATACAACTCTTTCCTTATTAAATCAAGATCTTTTACCTTCATGGAAGTACTTTCAGATTCTCTTTGGAATATCTGAATTGCTAGCACCACTACTCTTGCAGTTACTTGAACACTTGATACTGGTCTGATAATTGAGAAGGCTACCAAGTGACTAATGGGTAGGTAGGGTATACAAAGGATACACTCCCTGGACAGAGGGATGACTCACACCCCAAGCAGGGCAGAGGAAGGCATTATGCTATTCAGAACAGCATGCAACTAAAAACTCTTGAATTGTTTGTTTCTGGATTTTCTGACCACAGTTAATTGGAAATGAAAAAAGCAAACCTTGGTGGGGGGGCCTCCAGTGTAAGTTGTTTATGATCACAGAGTATTACATTCAGATTGAAAATCAAGTAGGGGGAAAAAACGAAGACTCCAAAGCCCAAACACAGTCTTTATGGCGTAACACAATAGGCCAATATAAACAGGAAAAAAAAAAGCTATAATGAGAAATTTATGTTCCAAGGTATGGTTCTCCACATAATAATGGGTCTTCATGAGGACCACAGTAAATAAATCCTATAGGAAATTATTAACAACCAAAAGCTTGCAGTTAAGGTTCAAACTAAAAAAAAGCACTCAAAGTAAAAGCATTATCTATCCTGGTTACTGGTGGCAGGCAACACCAAACATGACACATAAGTCATTGTTAGAAAAAAAAAACAAACCATCATCCTGGGTATTCAGTTATTTTGGAACACTTACTTTTCCTTAACTAAAGGTCTTAGTCAAATGAAGTGTATTTCAGTGAGTTCAAGATTTCTGCCTTGCAAACTGAAAGTCTTATTTGCTTAAGAATATACTGTTTTGGGCTGGGGATTTGGCTCAGTGGTTTTGTCACCTGCTGTGCAAGCGCAAGGACCCGAGTTCGATCCCTGGTACCAAAAAAAAAGAATATACTGTATTGAGGTTCCATACCTTCTTGACATTTTTCTAATAAAAACTGTGTCGACTGTCAGATACTGTATTCTTAATTTGATAAATTTCAAATTAATGAGTTAAAAATGTATTATCCTGCTCACTACATATTTTCAAAAGGTCTCTTAGCCAATGATATGAATAATAAATATGGATTCAATAGCAACACTTCAATTAAGAAAGTATTTCAAAGAAGGGAATGGAATTAATATGAGAAAAAAAAATGGAAACAAGGTCTTTGTAGTTAGGGAAAGGTGGAGGGGTTGAAGGGAGGGCAGGGAAATGGGGAAAAAATAAGAACCAAGACGGATTATGTAAAGGTGCAAATTTCCAATGATGAATGCCATTATATTGTATACCTTAAACGTACCAATATAATTTAAAAAAAGAAAGTATTTCAAGCGTCAGATGCCCCAATTTATTCAATGTGTAAACACTCACCAGTGAAATGATTCACATTTAAATAGCCACACCGTGGGCCGGGGATTTAGCTCAGCGGCACCACGCCTGCCCTGAAAGTGCAAGGACCTGAGTTCGATCCTGGTACCCCAAAAAAAACCCAAACAAACAAAAAATAGCCACACCTCTATATTAGCAAGCCCAATCCTAACTAGTGATTTTCTGGAACTTCAGCCTGTGGGTTTTCCCATTTTACTCCTCCACCCCTGTGACTATCTCCTTTATTTGGTTCACCTTGGCAATGCTTCTAATTAAACTTGAATTGAGAACTATTATGATGGTAAAAATATTAACATTTACTGAATGCTTCTTATGTAGCATTTAATTCTCAAAGGTGACTAAAGCATGGCACAGTCAGATTCGTTAGGTAAGTCAAACCCAGGCATTCTGGTTTCAGGGCATACATTCTACAAAGCTGAGTAAATTGAAAACGGTCGTGCTGTTATTGTCACTGCTCCCAAATAAAAGGCTTTTTCACTTCCAATTGTTTAAATCACATCTAATTTGCTATAGCTGATTTAAACAGTAACCGTCTAGTTACACTACATCTTTAAGCAAGGTAAAGAATTTCGGTTTCCACCTGCACCCATACTGTTCTGCCCACAAATTTTGCAATCCAGTTCTGCCTGATTCTAAACTCCTGTCTCTTGGAGAACCACTCTACCCCCCAGATCTTTCCTGGCGAAGGCCTTAAAAAGCGACATTGCGACCTGTACCATATTATCTCCATCCATCCTCCTTCAGAAAAACAACTGTATCGAAATAGAGTAATTATGGGGACACCCGAAGCTAAGACAGGCCTTTGGTTAACTTCAAGACAAAAAAGTTAAAAAGCACGAGAGCAGGCACAGGAGGACGCTTTTCCTCTTCCAAGTATTAAAGTATGGAAGCATTCAGCAAGGGGGGCTGAAAAGCGGGGCGCAACCGCCCAAGGGCTTGGGTCCTGCTCTGCAGAAGCGGCGCATTCTCGGGTTCAGCACCCTTCTAGGACGCTTAAGACTCCTCCGCAACTTGCCTCCCCGGAGCCAGCGAGCCTGGCCCGGCCCGGGCGGCGCGCGGTGAAGGCCCCGCGGCCAGGCGGGGGCTGGGAAGCTCCTACAGGGCGGGTAAGGAGGTGACTGAGCGGGCTGGAGGAGAGGGGGCGGGGAGCTAGCGTCCGGTAGGTCCGGAACACAGCTCTGCCAAACCTCCGCCTCCCCCAGCCCTGCCGCCGCGGAGAGCCCCACAAGGCGAGGAGGGAAGTCCGCCGGAGCAGAGGGGAGAAAATTCAAAACGAGTCTACTCAACCTCGTCTTGGCTCCGAGGCCCCGCCATGGAGACCAGCACAATGCGCAGGCGCAGCTCTCTCAGCTGTTCAGCGCAGTCCCATGAGGTCAGACCCCTACCGGCCACCGTCTCTCGTTTTCCTTTCGATTTTTCTGCTTTTCATATTTCCGCCTCTGCTCTTCGGAATTCTAAAACCTGGAACTAGAGGTGAGAATCCGGGAATGGGGCCGAATCTTGTCTGAGTCAGGTTCTGGTTGGGAATAGCCATAAAAAGGGAAGTCGGGGAAGGCTTTAGTGAAGGCTGAAGGCAGATGAAATTTAATAAAGAGCTGGCTGAGGATTTAATGCAAAGAGCACTTGAACGTGCGTAGCAAGAAAGACTGCATTTCCCAGTGGTAATAGCGTTTGAGACGCGCTGCTTTCTGGACTTTGTAGGAGCTGCAGTTGAAGACGACCCTCCATCGACAGCATTTTTTATTTATTTGTTTTAGACAGATTTGAGTTGGGCCTTTCTGTATCTTTCTAATCAACCCCAGGCCAAACGTATGGAAGAAATCCAAACGAGAATACGGGGATACGCTGCTTGCAAGACTGCTCTGCTCATCGATGACTCCTGATCTAGGAATAGGTAGTTGATGTTCACGGCCTAGCCCGTGTGTCAGGCAACCTCGTGATACCTCTGCTCTGAGTCCCAGCCTGGGAAGCCAGATTCGTTTGCAGCTTTCGCTTACCTGTGGATACTGATCTTGAGCTATCTCTTTTTGTAGTCTGAAGAGACAAGAACCCTGTTTTCTGAGTACTAACTTAAACGTTTTGGGGCGCAAGACTTGGGTGTACTCCCCGCCATGGCTCAACTCCAGACACGCTTCTACACGGACAACAAGAAGTAAGTGAGCGTCCCAGCCTTCTGTCCTTTTTCCCCTCTCTGGGACCTTATCTGGGGACCCCTCTGTTGTGACCTTGTGGTTCCGTGGTTGTCTTTGCTGACAGCTTCATGCCCCCGCCCCATTTATGGCTGACTCCTCTCTTGAGCCACTCTTGCTCTTTTCAGCCGTGCATTGGGAGGGTTTCTCAGGGACCTCTCGCCCGCACTCCGACAGCACCCATCACCTCTCTTCTGCCCAGTTTCCTGGGCACCATATAATTAGGTTTGTGTGTGGAGGAAACTTAAGAAGACCTTCGAGTTTGCTTTCAGACTGATACTATGTGAGCAATTCGAACAGTGAACAATAGGCCATGTCCTTACAGGCCCCGTCTGCTAGTGGTGGTGTTCATGGTTTCTGAAAGCACAGGTTCGTTTTCTTAAGTAGGTGATAGAAGATGCTTTTCTAAACCAGGCTAGTAAATGGATCTCCAAATAGACGTTTGGTGGGAATTTTTTTTTTTTTTTTCGTACCGGGGATCGAACTCGGGTCCTTAGGCTTGCGCAGCAGGCGGCGAAACCAGTGAGCTAAATCCCCGGTAGTACTGGATTTTGATGAAAACGTGAAGTTAATTCAGTTACAGGTTTGAATGTGTATGTGTGTGCTAAAATTTTTGCGATAATTGATGATTGACCTGAAGTTGGAAAAAATATATCACTGTATTTTAATCCCATAAAGAAAAGGGTAAGCGTATGTGTATGGGTGTGTGTTTAGGTTCTCCAAAAGTAACAAGGCTTAGAAATTTAAGTTTCTTGCTTCTTTTCAATTAATGTTTTGATCAGTAAAATGGGATGTTATACACAAATATGTATATAATTGACATATACTGTGGTGGTGGTAGTGGTGGTGTGTGAGTGTGTGTATGTGAAAGAGAGTTATGCTGCTTTGCCCCTCACATTTTTGTTTTTAATTGTTACTGGGGATCGAACTCGGGTCCTTGCACTTGCAAGGCAAGCACTGGAACCGCTAAGCTAAATCCCCGACCCCATGCCCCTCACATTTTATTGATCAAAGTATTAAATTAAAAAAAGAAGCAAAAATTTTAATTTCTAGGTTTTATTACCTTTTGGAGAACTAAAATAACTACTTACTTCGGGGGGGTATGATAAATATACAACCATTATTATTCAAAGTGTAGTTTGAGAACCAGCAGCATTATATTAGCAGTTTTGCAAACATCACCATAGTCAATTTTAAAACATTTTTTGTCACCCTTTAGGGCCCCCCATCCATTTAATAACCTAGCCCTAGGCAATCACTTATTATCCATCTCTGTAGATGTGTCTATTCTGGACATTTTGTATTCATTAAATTATATATAGTCTTTTGTGACTTGCTTCTTTCACTTACTATTGTATTTTTACGGTTCATCCATGTAGTAGTTTGGCTTAGTACTTAATTCTTTTTTATGGACAAATAATATTCAACTGTGTGGCTATACTGCATTTTCCTTTTGGTGTCCAATTATTAGACATTTAGGTTGTTCCTTCCCCTTTTCGCCATTATGAATAGAAATTATGTGAATATTAGTGTACAAGTTTTTGTGTGAACATGTTTTCATTTCTCTTTGGCACATACCTTAAAAGACCTTCCCCGGTCAGATGGTATTATCTGTCATTTTTATAATAGCCACCCTAATGGGTCTGAAGTGATGTTTCATTGTGGTTTGATTTGCCTGTCTTTGTTGACTTAAGATGAGCATCTTAAGTGCCTGATGGTCATTTTTGCATATTCAAATCCTTTGCCCATTTAAAAAATTTGATTTTTTATTACTGAGTTGTAAGCTTCCTATTCTAGATACAAGTTTCCTTATCAGATGTATGATTTGCAAATATTTTCTCACACTCTCGGAGTTGAGTCTCCTAATCTGCCTCCTGTGTTCCTCTAATAGGCTCCATTGCACAGCCAAACTTTGGATGATGTTACTCCTTAATTTGGATTGCTTGTCTACAGAAAGAAGTACAAACTATTTCACACATCACAATACATAAATTGCTCTTTGCAGATCTCTTTAGCTTCATCTTTGATCACTGCCTAAAAGCAAAAACTGCACTTTCTGGAAAAGCTATTGTTTTGCTGTTCTCCTTGCTTTCTCACATCCCCTTTTCCTGTCTAACTCTCCCTTACCTGGCAAAAATCACTTTTCTAGATGTGGTTTAAGATTGATCTTTAAGCCGGGCATTTAGCTCAGTGGTTCGTGCACCTGCCTTGAAAGCACAAGGTCTGGAGTTCGATCCCTGGTACCAAAAAAAAAAAAAAAGATTAATTTAAAGATCAATCTTTTTTTTTTGGTACCAGAGATTGAACTCAGGACCTGGCACTGGAACCACTGAGCTAAATCTCCGGCCCTAAATTGATCTTTTTGCCGGGTGTGGTGGTGCATGCCTGTAATCCCAACACTTGGGAGGCTGAGGCAGGAGGATCACTGTGAGTTTAGGCCAGCCTAAAATAAACTACATAGTGAGACCGTCTCAAAAGGAAAAAAAAATGACCTATCGCTTCCTCTTCTCTCTTTGTATATACATATCATTTAAGACATTATTCTTACATAGCTTCATTGCATTTGAGAAGAGATACTTCTTAATTCATTTTGTTTACTCCATGTAGCAAAATATCTGACGTGGTTAGTACCCAATAAATGTTTGTTGAATGAATAAATACACACTTGTTAAAATATCTTTAGATTTGATCTTGACGTATCATTTCCTTTTTATAGATATGCAGTAGATGATGTTCCCTTCTCAATCCCTGCCACCTCTGAAATTGCTGACCTTAGTAACATCATCAATAAATTACTGGAGGCCAAAAATGGTGGGTATATATGTTCTGAGAAGTTACAAGAAGGCACAGAACCACTAACCACACTAAAATACATTTTTTTGCAGTCAATATATGAATTTGATATCAGTGAAATTTGTAAATTATAACATATTCTGAAAGAGGTGTTCAAAAAATATTTCTATTTAATCTGCTTTTTAAGTCATAATGCAGTTAAAGAGGTCGTAATTTAGGAATAAAGATTTTAGTATACTAATTGTGATATTAGTGGTAATATAGATACTGTGATTGTGGCGTGAAAGGCTGGGTCATATAGGCATAAAACAAGCATCTTGGTGCTTAGTCCCTACTTGTTAGTGAAACAGGAGGCAAAATATCAGTGTCTGAATTTAAATATTATTTTAAGTAATAACAAAATGCTAGTGTTGATACTGATATTTCATTTTTTATGTTCAGAATTCATAAAGTAATGGATATAGCAAAAATTTGTAAACAAGAATGTCAAGTAAAAAACATAAAAGAAAAAAATGAACTATTATATGTATAATATAGGCTCTTTGCCTATAAATATGAACAATATACATAAAAATACAGATGAAGGGTTGGGGATTTAGCTCAGCGGCACTGTGCCTGCCTCGCAAGTGCAAGGTCCTGAGTTTGATCCCCAGGACTGCAAAAAAAAAAACCCAAAAAACAAACAAACAAACAAAATACAGATGAACAGTACTCATAAATTGATAATAGTTGAAGTTGGGTAAGTACATGAAAATATTATTCTCCGTATTTGTATATTTGAAATTTTTTATAATATTGGTTTTTTGGTATGGGGGATCGAACTCAGGACCTTGCACTTGTGAGGCCAGTGCGGTGCCATTGAGCTAAATCCCAGACCCTTATAATAAAGTTTTTAAAAAACAAATGAAACAGGGCCGAGGATTTAGCTCAGTAGTTTCGCTGCCTGCTGCGCAAGCGCAAGGACCGGAGTTCGATCCCTGGTACCAAAAACAACAACAACAACAACAAAAAACAAATGAAACATTAGATAAAACAGAAAAAATTTAAACATGAAAAATGAAAATAACAAAAAATGCGACCTCTGAAAACAAAGTTTGTTAAATTTGAGATGATGTTTTTGAACTTTTTTTTCTTCGGGTTTTTCAGAGACAAAGCCTTACTGTGTAGTTTAGGCTGGCCTTGAACTCACTGTGCAGCTCAGGCTGGCCTGTAACTTGCAGCAACCCTCTTGCCTCAGCCTCTGAGTGCTAGGATTACAGGCATACACCACCCCACCTGTGGGAACCCTCCCCCCCTTTTTTTTGTTTTGTTCTGGTGTGTGTTTTGGGGGGTGGGGACCGGGGATCGAACTCAGGACCTTGAGCTTCCAAGGCAGGCAGCAGTTGTTTTTTTTTTTAACTTGTGGGATGAGGAGCCCTCAGGGCCTATGATCTGTTTCTAGCTAGCAAGTTGCAGCTGCTCCCCCAGTTGCAGTTCTTGATTCAAAAATAATCACTGAACATTTCACTGCAATTGGTCCTTGTCTTTAGTAGAGATAATTGATACAAAGTTGCCTTTATGCATTTTTCTGAAATTATAGACTAAATACTTGTCATTTTGTGTAAAGAACTGAATCATATACTTGAGTTAAAGATGCAGTTGATTCAGACTTAAGATATTTTTAAAGAAACCAAATAAATGTTGAGGGAATTCTTTTAGGAGTATAGCTAATACATGTAGAAGGAATAATAAAATTAGACTAGTATATTACCATTTGCCAACTCCAAGTCAAACAATGAATATAAATAATGATTATCAGTAGCTGCTACAATCATTAAATAGGTTAATGACTAATAGGTTCAATAAAGTCTTTCTTTTTTTTGGTACTGGGGATCGAACTTGGGACCTTGCGCATGCGAGGCAGGTGGCTGAACAACTGAGCTAAATCCCCGGCCCAAGGTGTATTTTTTGGAGGGGAGGAGAGTACTGGGGATCGAACTCTGGTCCTTGCGCTTGCAGGGCAGGCAGTGAAACCACTGAGCTAAATCCCAGCCCTGGTTAATGACTAATAGGGATCATGGTAGATGGGATCAGTCTGACATCAATTGAGCACACAGGTAGGTCTTAACATTTTATTTAATTATTTATTATTTTGAGACAAGGTCTCACTAAGTTGCAAGTTGCACAGGCTGGGAACAAATTTATAATCCTTCCTTGGCCTCCCAGAATGCCGGGATTACAGGCATATGCCAACAAGCATGGATCTTAAATGTTTTAAAAAGAGACACAATTAGATATATGCATCCTGATATATAGGAAATACAGAGTATTGCCTGTGAAGTTTCTTGCCCAAAAAAATGAAATCTGAAATCTTATTAAGCATTAATGTGACTAGTTTATAGGGTGTATAAATAATAAGGAACATGTTAAAAGACACCCTGGAAGCTTGGTGTAAGAGACAGTCTAACTAAATCACTAAATTGTTCAGGTTAGGCTTGCAATCTTCCTGCCTCAACCTTCTAGAGTGCTGTGATTAAAAGCATGTGCCATTACACCAAGCTTCCATGATTTCAGATTTCAGGGGTGGGGGCTGGGGTTGTAGTTCCATGCAAAGGCCTTAGATTCAATTCCTGGTACTCCTCTCCCCAAAAAACAACAGGCTGGAAGTGTGACTACCCAAGCCCAAAATGTAGAAAATATTATAAGACATATGACCCACTTTCTTCAAGAATACATGGCAAGGAAAAAAAGGAGGGGGACTGTTAATGATTAAAAGAAACATATTAACCAAATACAATGTATGGACTTTGGATGGTGATTTTATTTTCCTTTCTTGTGTGTGGTACCAGAGATCAAACTCGGGACCTTTCGCTTGCAAGGCAGGCAGCAGAACCACTGAGCTAAATCCCCGGCCCTGGATGGTGATTTTAAAAAGTCTACTCTAGGGCTGGGGATTGAGCTCAGTGGTGCTGCCGCCGGCCTCGCAAGCGCAATGTCCCAAGTTTGATCCCTGTACCAAAAAAGAAAAGAAAAAGCCTACTCTAAAACAAATGACATGTAATTGAGTAATTGATATTAGAATAATTTTTTAAATTTTCTAACACTGTGACTAATTTTTTTTAGTCTTTAAATTTTAGAGATATATTAAGATACAAAAAAATGATAAAATTATACTAAAAAATGATATAATTTCTGAGGTTTGCTTTAGAATAAACCAGCAGGGGAATGGGAAAAAATATTAATGATTGCTCATGAGTTGGTTGGGTTAAAATGAGTTGATGGTGATTCGTTGTTATTCCTACTTTTATATGTTTGGGATTTTCCATAAAACAAAAAGTTTTTTAAAAATTAAAATAGGAGGGCCTGGGATTTAGCTCAGTGGTTCTGCTGCCTGCCATGCAAGCGCAAGGATCTGAGTTCGATCCCTGGTACCAAAAAAAAATTAAAATAGGAGCCAGACACATGTGTAATCTCAGCACTCAAAGTCTGAGGCAGGAAGATTGTAAGTTGGAAACCAGCCTGGGCTATATAATGAGAACCTGTCTCAAAAAACAAACAAAAATAAAACAAAATAGGGCCAGTGATGTCGCTTAGTGGTAGAGCATGTGGATAGCAAGCACAAGGCTGTGTTCAATCCTAGTACCAAAAAAAATGTTACATTAGCAACAATACATTTATATTAACAGGGCTGGGGATTTAGCTCAGTGGTTCCGCCACCTGCCTCGCAAGTGCAAGGACCAGAGTTCGATCCCCGGTACCAAAGAAAAAAAAAAAAACAAAAAAAGAAAATGAGGGAAAGGAAAAAAACTAGGTGGTGCCGCCGCCTGCCTCGCAAGTGCAAGGACCAGAGTTCGATCCCCGGTACCAAAAAAAAAAAAAAAATCGTATCATTTATATTAACAGAACAACATATTTCTGTTCTGAAAAAAAAAATCACTTAGTATACTGCAGTGCATTTTTCTCATATGCCAAGAGAAATTCTAGGGAAACATTTCAAGAGTTCTTCTATGTCTATGCCAATAACATTTCACCAGAGTGATAGTACTTTTACTGTTTCTTTAGAGTTCCACAAGTATGTGGAGTTTGATTTCCTTATCAAAGGCCAGTTTCTACGAATGCCCTTGGCCAAGCATATGGAACTGGAGAACATCTCAACAGTAAGTTCATGACTATCTTCTGTATTTTCAATTATCAATTATCATTGTCACAGGAAGTAAATACCTTATGTAATCAACCTGAATCTATCTTTAGCAACCAACATTTTCTTTAATATATACAATTTATTTAATAAATTAATGTCATTCAAAATACAGTGCTGGAACATTATGCAGTTGAACATGCTAGTAATGTTTGTCACGAAGCACCTGTGCTTAGGTTAGACTGGCGGCGCCCCACTACTGCTATTGGTTCCTGGAATTAATGCCAGAGCAGCGCTATTATCTGCTCATCTGCACAGCTAATTCTGGAAATTCCTGAGCAGTTCATCTTCCTAATCCTACCCCCAACACACACACACACATAAGGTTAAAAAAAAACACACCCTGACAGCTAACAGATACCTATACGCAATCACTCTACAGTAATGCATGTTATTGAATTAGATGTATAACCTGGTTAACCCACACTCTACGTCTTTTAAGATGAAGAACTACATCAGCAGCAGGTAGTTATATGCATGAGCCAATAGCAACCAACATTTTTTGATTATAATTTTTTCCTAGAAATTTGAACTTCAGTTTTATATATTCAATTTTTAAATCTCTCTTAGAGTATTTTATTCAAGAAAATACAGGTGAATTAACACATTCTTCATATTTTTGAAAGAATGTGTAAGAAAGAGAATACCAAATATATGTATACTGCTTGACAGGAGGAAAAAATAATTGTGTACATATAAAAACTAGGGGCTAGATTATTGTGATTTATTTTGATTCTTCCTCTAATTTTCAAACTTTCCTTAATACTGCTCTTATAATTAAAAATATAATTTACAAGCTAGGCATGGTGGCGCACATCAGTATTCCCAATATTTAGGAGGCTGAGATAGGTGGGTCGTTGTGAGTTCAAGGCCAGCCTGAACTACATAGCAAGACCCTGTCTCAAACAAACAAACAAACGTATATATGTGTATGTATATACTTTACAAGCCAAGTAGAGCACATGTGTATAATTCCAGGCTGAGGCAGGAGGATCAATCACAAATTTGAACTCAGCCTGGGCAGTGTTTCTGAGATTTGCTCTCAAATAAACCAACATTATTTTAAGTTTAAAATAAACTTAATGAGACCATCTCCCAAAATCAAAATTAAAAAACGGCTGGAGGGGCCGGGAATTTAGCTCAGTGGTTCTGTCGCCTGCCTTGCAAGTACAAGGACCTGAGTTTGATCCCCAGTACCAAAAAAAAAACCAGCTAGAGAATGTAGCTCAATGCAGAGTCATTGAGTTCAGTCCCCAGTAAGGGAGGGGCAAGTATGGAGAGAGAAAAAATTGCGATAAAATATACACAACATAAAATTTACCATTTTTAAGTAAACAATTCGGTGCCATGAAATACATCACAGTATTGTATAACAGTTACCACTACCCATTTCCAGAACTGTTGCATTATCCTAAACAGAAGTTCTGTACCCACCAAACAATATGCTTTTATGATTTTTTAAAAATTTTAGTTTCCTTATATTTTCCCCACACTTTTTTTTTTTTTTGGTACTGGGCATCGAACTTGGCATCTTGAGCTTGCGAGGCAGGCAGTGGAACCACTGAGCTAAATCCCTGCCCCCCCCACACACTTTTAGCATAAATTTTCCAAGGCTGTCATTATTCTTCATATTATTCTTAGCATACTGTTAGACCAAATAAAGTTTGTGACTTTTTGAATGGTTCCAAATTTTCTGGATAATGAAGGGGACTTATATGAAGAAGATATATTAAATTGGGGTACGATTGCAGATACAATGCTTTATCTTCATAGTAATATTTTTAAAATGTACCACCTGATCGGCTTCTGGTTTCTTTCTCTGATTAGGAAGAAGTTGTGGAACTAGAATATGTGGAGAAGTACACTGCCCCCCAGCCAGAGCAATGCATGTTCCATGATGACTGGATCAGCTCAATTAAAGGGGCAGAGGAATGGTACTCCCAGATGAATGTTCTGTTTTCTTCCTCACCTCTTCAGTCTTTTAAAATCTACTATGTGAATATTTTTCTCTGAATCCTGTTCTTTGTAAAAGTAATTTTGCTATATATGGATCAGTGATCAAGCCAAACAGAATGATCTTTGCATTCATTATATTACAAAAGAAAACAAGTAATGGGCATGGTGTTGTATGGCTGTAGTCCTAGCTGCTCAAGAGGCTAAGGGAGGAGGATTGCAAGTTCAAGGCCAGTCTGGGAAACATAACAAGACCCTGTCTTATAATACATAAAAATGGCTGGTGTGTAGGTCAGTGCAAAGGTCCTGGGTTCAAAATAGATTTCCTGTTTCAAGATATTGTAGTAACATTTGTATTCTATCTAAGTCAAGTGTTTTAAAGCATTTAATTTATTTGGTTTGTATAGTTAGTTGAATATATAGTTTATTTCACAGAGGAAAAATAACTTTTATAGCCAGGTCTCCTGGCCTCCTACTATGAAGATGTAGATCATACTATTTTAGGGCTAAAATGGTCAGACCAGAAATCAAGTAAGAAGGTATGAATATCTCAGACCAAATCCCTGCTGGCCTTACTTGTACAAAAACACCTCGAATGAATTAGAAGAGGACCTTCTTTCAAAGAGTGAGTCTCTAGTTATTACACAAAGTTATGTTTTTACTTTTATGGTTTTACTTTAAATGGTTTTACTGTTTTTTAAAATTCTTTTTTTTTTTTTGGTACCAAGGATTGAACTCGGAACCTTCTGCTTTCGAGGCAGGCGGCAGAACCACCAAGCTAAATCCCCGGCTTAAAATTTTCTTCTGTTGTTTTCTGGTGTTGGGGATCAAACTGAGGGCCTCGTGCATGCTGCACACCCAGCCCTGTTTTTCTCCTGGTTTTCATTGTTAATTACAAAGGACTGTTAGGCTTTATAAGCAATTTGCATAGCTTTCCTGAGATGTGTAGTTGATCCAAAAGTAAAAGTTAAATCTAGGGATTGTCAGTTGTTATTTTTAGTAGTTTGGGAAAACTCAAGTATTATATTGAATCTAGTCTGATATATTTTGAAATCTTGATCTTCAAATGAAAAAAAGAGTTTAAAAGTATAGTCTCGTGATGCCTCCACCTGCCCCGCAAGCGCAAGGACCTGAGTTCAATCCCTGGTACCAAAAACACCAAAACAACAAAACAACAAAAAAAAGTATAGTTTCCAAGGTTTTCATTGTGATTGTCATAGAAACACAATTGATTTTGGGGACTTGAAAAAGTCCTTTTTGTGTTTCATAGGGTTTCTTTTTTTTTCTTTCATCCTAGGATCTTGACTGGTTCTTATGATAAGACATCTCAGATCTGGTCCTTGGAAGGAACATCAATAATGACAATTGTGGGGCATGCAGACGTTGTAAAAGACGTGGCCTGGGTGAAAAAAGGTAGGACTCTTTGCTTAAACCAAGAAGAATCCTAGGTAGGGATTTGGAAATACATAAGCCATTTCCAAATGCAGGAGGAGAATGGGGAGTGGGTAAAAAGTGGCTCATGCCTCAGTTATTGTGAGGTCTTTCAAAAGTAAGAGTTTTCAAGAAGAAAAGGATCATGTTTTAAAAATCTATAAATTGGGCTGGGGATTTAGCTCAATGGCACTGTGCCTGCCTCGCAAACACAAGGTCCTGAGTTTGATCCCCAGTACCAAAAAAAAAAAAAAAAAAAAATCTATAGATTGATGGAAATGAACCTTTACTAAAATTATATGATACTGTATACATTTTCATATTTATTAAGTTAAATGCATATATTCTTTTTGTTGTTTTTTTGGATTTGTTTTTCTTTTTTGAAATAGTACGTGGGCCGAGGATTTAGCTCAGTGGTTTCGCCGCCTGCTGCGCAAGCGCAAGGACCCAAGTTTGATCCCCAGTACCAAAAAAAAAAAGAAATAGTATGTCATTCAGGCTGGCCTTGAACTTGCTGTGTAAGCCCAGGCTGTCCTGGAACCCTGTAGTAATCCTCCTGCCTTAGATGGTAGTGCTAAAATTACAGGCATGTGCCACAATGTATCTTCTATGTTAGAAGGAATTTTCCTTTATACCCGTAGCTTTTTTATAAAAGCAGATCATATGAGCTCTTTTATTTTTTTAGCACCTGAAAAAAGTTTGAATTCTTTAGTGTAAATTTACACTTTTGAACTAATTTGTTTTTTCTTCGCACATTCTTTCCCAGACAGTTTGTCTTGTTTACTTTTGAGTGCCTCTATGGATCAGACTATTCTCCTATGGGAGTGGAGTGTAGAGAGAAACAAAGTAAAAGCTCTGCATTGCTGTAGAGGCCATGCTGGAAGTGTGGATTCTATAGCAGTTGATAGCTCTGGAACTAAAGTAAGTAGTATGTTAATTTAGAATTTAAGCATCTTACTGAAACTTCCTTCTGTGGTTGGGGATTTAGCTCAGTTGTTCCGTCACCTTTCTCACAAGGTCCAGAGTCCCCGGTACCAAAAAAAAGAAAAAAGAAAAACAAAACTTCCTTCTATGTATAGTCCTATGGCTGTCCTACTTTAAAAACAACCAGTACCTAGAGAATATGACTTCAAATCCAAAGTAAACAGTCTACTCATACAATAAGAGATATAAAGATTTAACTTTCAGAGTCTAGGTCTCTGACTCAGAACTTTATATAAATTGCAAAAAAATTTTTTTTCCATTGTTTATTGGTACATTTTAGGTATAAAATACAGTTACATTCATCATTGGGATCTTGTTCCTTTACATGACGTATCTTGGTTCTTATTTTTTTACCCATTCCCCTGCCCTCCCTTCACCCCCTCCACCCTTCCCTATTTACAAGGACTTTGTTTCCTTTTTTTTCCTTTCCTCATATTTTTTCTTTTCCCATCTTTCCTTTCCCTACCCATCCCACTTCCCCTACTCCTTTAGACCTTTTCTTCCTATTATATAGTATCAATTATACATTTTTAAAATTACAATATCAAGATTTAGAGGACATTACCACAGATTTTACAGAATTTAAAAGGATGTAGAAAGCATATTACAAAAATCTTTTTTGAAATAAATTTGACAACTTCTAAGAAGTACCTTGGAAGACAAATTAATGAAACTAACTCTGGAGGAAATATAAAATTTGAATAGCACCTATTAAAGAAAGTATATTCCTACCTTAAAAACCTACCCAGGCTCATATACATTTTAACTGATAAATTATATCAAACATTTAAAGCACAAAAAAGGAACACATCTCCCCTCATTTTAGGAAATCGACATTATGCTAATACTACAACTGGATAAAAGAAAAGTACGAACATAAATAAAAATTTGTTTAACAAAACAAACTATTAGAAGTCAGATCTGGCAGTATATAGTAAGTGGTTTTATTATAGGAATGGCAGTGTTGCCATCATTTTAACAAAGGAAAGGAAAAAGCCAAATGATCCTATCAGTAGTTGCAGAAAAAGTATTGGACTAAATTCTACAGCTGTTCATGGTAAAAGCTATCAGGAGACTAGTAGGACAGAACTTTCTCAACAGATTAAAGATAAGTACTCCATACTTCCAGCAAAAACGCCTTATGTGAATGGAGAAGATACAATGCTTTCTCCCTAAGGTGGGGAACCAAGGGCAGATATGCCTACTCTTCACCTGTCCATTAAACTTTGAAACATAGGCCCAAACAGTCTGGCAATAAAAAGAAACAAATAGCATAGGATGGGTAAGGTAGAAGTAAAATCTTTATATGTAGATGAAATGATCATCTACAGAGAAAAATACTAAAATTTCTAGGAGCCCCTAGAACTTGTACTTGAATTTAGCAGGATTAGAAAACACAAGGTATATATAAAAATTCAGGTCTGTGTATACTTGCTATAAATGAAGAATAGGATATTGAAATTTAATTGATTTTTTTTTTTTTTTGGTAGTGGGGATTGAATTCCGAACCTTGCGCTTTTGAGGCCAGCATTGGAACCACTGAGCTAAATCCCTGGCCCTGGATATTGAAATTTAAAAGTTATGTAGGAGTAGAAAGGACCTGGAAAAGTAAAAAGAAAAAAAAAATAACAGTGTTGGAAGACATTTATTACCTAATTTTAAAAGACTTCTTCTAAAGCTACAGTAATAAGGCAGTGTTCCATAAGGAAAGACATATAGATCAATGGAATAAAACAGAATCTAGAAATAGAACCACACATATATGGTTCACTGATTTTTGAAAGATTATTTAACATTAACATTTTGTAGAACATAAACTCAAGAGGAGAGGAAAAGATGTTTTCAACAAATGGTACTAGAACACCTGGTATCCGTATGTAAAAGATTAACCTCAACCCTTCATTTCCATACATAAAAATAACTTGCTCATTCTGCTGCATAAACTTTCAATGGAGTTTTTAATCTCCTAGAAATCTGTTTGCATCTGTTTTATAGATTCCATTTTTTCCTATGTTGGGATTCCATCATGTTCCTCAGCTCCTTTATTTATCTGTGTCCACTCTAGATTTATTAATCATGTCTTGCACTATGGGCACAATCTCTGCTGTTATCTGACAAATTATTTCTGATTTCATTTTTTCCAGATCCTCTTTTGTTGCCAGTTCAGGGAGTCCTGGTGGTTGAGTATCCGATTGTTCCATCTCATTTCCCTTTGGGGTTGCTTTAGGTGATCTGGAAGTCTGTTTTTGAGGCTTGTTTACATATCTTCTCATTTCAGCGGATGCAGCCTGCTGTGTCTTTGTTGAGGCAACTTTTTGCTCACCTAGTGGTCTTCAATTCTCAGTAAGCCACAGAGCTGCCTTTTCTGCTCACCAGTACACTAATTCCTGGGTTCAGAAAGGTGGCCTTCTGGAGCTGACCTGTTGTCTGAGTGGGCTTCTGGCTGGGGCCGGTGCACATTTGGGATGGTATCTAGGTGTGCCACTGGCTAGGGCCCCTATGTAGCTGTTGTCTGGGAGGGCCTTTGGTTAGGGGCTGTGCACCCCAGTTCCTGTTGTGTGAGTAAGCTTTTGGCTAGAGTCTCGCATACTTACTGATGGTATTGGGGCAAACCTCTGGCTGTTGCTTGTGTGCCTGTGCAGCTCTTTTCTAGGGAGGCCCTTGGCTTGGGCAGGTGTGCCCTGGCCTCTGGAGTCAGGGCAGAGCCCTGGCTGGAATCTGCTTGCAGCCATGCTGCTCTGTTCCACTCTGCTGCTCCCCCAACTAAGGTGGTCTGGTGTGTCTTTATTGCAGAGATTTTCTTCACTTTTCCGGTGGGCTTTAATTTTCATCAAGGGGCCTCAGAGAGGCCCTCTTTTGGTTGTTCACTTCTACTCTGTCTTTTCAAGCTCAGAACAATGTCCTTTATGACCCCTGCAACTGTGGTGTGGATCTAGATAATGGCTCGGCACAGCCGGTGGGGGGCCGGTGTCCTGGCCCCCACGCAGCTCACCTCCTCAGCACTCTAGTGCGGTGTTGCGGAGGCCTGAGAGGCTCTCACCTCAGCGCTCTGGGGAGATGGTGTGGCGGCCTGAGAGGCTCACCTCCTAGGCCCTCCGGGGCGGTGGTACAGCAGCTCAAGAGGCTCACCTCCTAAATTGCAAAATTTTAAAGAACTCAAGTGAACAAGGAATTTCTTTTTTAACCTTCTTAAATCATAGTGACATAATTTTTAACCTATCAACCACTCTAACCATTGTCATTAGTTTAAAGTGGTTATGCAACCACCTGAGTTTTAGCATACATTAAGGCTAATATTAGTAGGTTTATTTTACTATTGGTGTGATCTATTCTTTATGAGGACAAAATAGTAAAAGTTAAAAGGACACAGACCTGAGGGAAAGTACGGTATTGACTTGTGAGGGTTTACAAACAGTCTTACAGTTTGAAAGTTCCCTAAGCCATACAGAAGTATTCTGAATTTAAGTGTTTCCTCAGTAGTTCTTTGCCAGTGGGAATAATAGCACATTTGATATATTTAATATTTCATATTTATCCAAGAAGTGTTTATTTAAGTGAATTAACTACATCTTTTGGCTATAAGAGGCAAAAACTCATCTTGAACTTGCTTAAAATTAGGAGAAAATTTAATTGGGTGTGATATCCAACGAAACAACCACATCATGCAAACAGTGATGATACATCTAGGCCTCTGGGACCAGTGGAATGTGGCCAGTATACCCTCACTCTCTCTTATCTCCCAAAATCAGCTTTATTCTCTCTCCTCAAACTGTACTTTTCCACATGGCGATAGACCTAAACTTCAATATTTCCCAGGTTTTACATCCTATACTATCTGTTCCTGGAAAAGGATTAACTTCAATTCTCTGGAACACAGATCTTGTTTTTAAAGGTTCTGAATGAGGAAAAGACCTGGTACAGTATAGGTCAGTTTGCCCACCCTGATCTAACCAACTATAGCCAGGGCACAGGGCAACACAAGCATAGCAGCTTCCTCAGCTACCATGGAGATTAAGGGTAGTAGGAAGCTGGGCAGATGATACCGTGGTAATAAATACTTTCTGAGCCAATGCACAGAGACTAAGCAAGCAAGGTCTTAAAATCAAATAGAAGAAAAAAGAGGCAAGTAATGTAAGTTATATTACATATGTTTTTCTTTTCATACGTATCTGTTTAGTTTTGCAGTGGCTCCTGGGATAAGATGCTAAAGATCTGGTCTGCAGGTAAGTTAAATATTTCTTTGATTTATTAGTGATGTTTCAAGAATTTCAGTCGAAAGTATTTTTGTTTGTTTGGTTTTTGAGACTTGGTCTTGGTATGTAGCTTAGGCTGGCCTTGAACTACGTAGCCCAGGCTGGTCTTGAACTCGCAGCAATCCTCCTGCCTCAGCCTCCCAAGTGCTGGGATTACAGGTGTGCGCCACCATGCCTGGTGATGAGATTATTTTAAACCCACATTTTGCCATATAAAAACACCAGCTTTTTAAGGACATGCATAAAAGTACAACATATGGTGATAAATTAGTATTTTTATGCGTTTTTTGTTTTGTTTTTTGTTTTTTTTGTTTTTGGTACCGGGGATCAAACTCGGGTCCTTGGCGCTTGCGCAGCTGGTGGCAAAACCACTGAGCTAAATCCCCAGCCCTTTTATGAGTTTTTTTAAACCTCTTTTATTTACTGGACAAGGTCACTGAATTGCTGCAAGTATACTACCTTACTTCTCAGAGCTCTGTTATTCAGGAACCTGGAAATAAATATCTTTTGAATAATTTTGACTCATTTTTAGTCATTTAAAGATTATTTTGAGTCATTTTACTGTTAGATGGATTTTTCAGTCTGGTTTACTGCTTAAAAACTAGTCGGTGGCACATGCCTGTAATCCCAGCACCTGGGAGGCTGAAGCACAAGGATCACTGTGAGTTTGAGGTTAGCCTGGGCTACATAGTTCAGGGGCAGCCTGGACTACATAGTGAGACCTTGTCTCAAAAAAAAGCGTATAATAAAAACTAAGGGCCAGGGATTTAGCTCAGTGGTTCCGTCACCTGCCCTGCAAGCACAAGGACCTGAGTTTGATCCCCAGTACCAAAAATAAATAAATAAAATTTTTTTAAAAACCTAGTTTTTCAATGCAGTTTTACCAGAGTTAATAGCCTTATACTTTAAAAGTACAGATTAAAGGGAACAATTGAGAGAGGAAATAGGAAGAAAGACTCTTAAAAGAAAATGCCTTGATATTAGTAAGAGACACTGATGGGAAGAAAAGGGGGAAAAAACCCCACAATATTTAAACTTTAAAACACAGTAGTGAGAGCTGTTTATTGCACAAGTAAACAGACTAGAATATCTCCGTTACTTCTGAAAGATTTGCAGTATTACAGTGTAATGTCCTGCAAGCAGTTTACAAATGAATAGAGAAGGATGAAGAAAAGTTTAACTAGTTTTGAATACTTATGTGTCAGATGACAGAAAACATAATCCATTTTAGTAGATTTTACAGAAATTATTAGAGCAAATACTTTTGAGGAAGAAAGTAGTTTAGAAAATTTGCTTTTCTGTAGATTTTTTTTAATGCTTGATAAAGTAGATATATGTGATTAGCTATTACTTTTAAGGGGTTTATAATCTAGTTAGGAAGTCAGATTAATGTTGGTAAAAGTTACAAAGCATTAAAATCTGCAGTTTCCAGTTGGGATTTGCTACCTAACCAAATGCTGCATGACAAAGATTTTTAAAAATAGAATAACTGTGGGGCTTGGAGTGTGGCTCAGTGGTAGAGCACTTGCTCAACTCACAGGAGGCCCTGTATTTAATCTTCAGTACCACAGAAACAAAACAAAATAACTTAGGAAGGCTTTTCTTTGGTAGAAAATGAAACAGCCAAGGGGACTAAATATGTTTGAGTATCTCCTTTTAACATGTTTACCTTATTACCTCCTATATTAACATAAATGCAATCTGGTCATAACTCCCAGAGTAAGCAGTTTTTTCATGGCTGTGGTAAAGTGATCCATATTCACAATGATCATCTCAAAGACTTAGCCAGATTTCAAACTAGTTAGGTTTAGTTTTTTTATTTTTTGCTTTTTTGTTTTTGAAGATTGGTAATCTAGGTATTGTTTTTTTATATACAACTTTCTATTAACTACCCAGAAAAACTGTATATTAAAAATACAGAGGGCCAGAGATTTAGCTCAGTGGCATCGCCACCTGCCTTGCAAGTGCAAGGTCCTGAGTTCGATCCCCAGTACCAAAAATAATGCAGAAAATTCTTTCAAAAAGTTTGCATTTAATAGTCACTTTTTTTTGATACCAGGGATCAAACTCAGGATCTTGCGCTAGCGAGGCAGGCACAGTGCCACTCAGCTAAATCCCTGGCCCTATTCACTGTGTTTTTAAAGTATCAAGTCTAATTCTTTTTGATGCAGTCCCAACAGATGAAGAAGATGAAATGGAGGAATCCACAAATCGACCAAGAAAGAAACAGAAAACAGAGCAGTTAGGACTAACAAGGGTAGGTATTAATGAGAACTGACTGTTCTTAGCTTAGGTCTGCGTTGATGAATATATGGGAATTTAATATAGTTCTCTGTCCCTATAAATTCTTTTACCAGAATGTCACATAAATGAAATGACACAGTATATAGTCCTTTGCATTAGCCTTTTCACTTGGCATAAAGTATTTGAGCTTCATCCATGTTGTTAAGACTGTAAGTTGCTGGTCCCTGTTAAATGCTGAGTGGCATTCTAGTGTATGCGTATACCGCAGTTGGTTTAATAATTCACAAGTTGAAGAATACCTAGGTTGTTTACAGTGTGACAGTTATGAATAAAACTGCTATCAAAATTGATGTTCAGGTTTTTGTGTGAACCTGTTTTCCTTTCTCTTGGATTACTACCTAAGAATGTGATAGCCTATTCATAGATATTTTCCTATTGTTTCTACTTTGTTGTTTTCTATCCTAGAGGCTTCTGATTACCTTTCATTTGCTGGCCAATTTGGCTGTCGTTTATTTTTGCACCATAGAGAGTTAAGAATGTTTTTTACATTGTTAAGGGGTTGTAGAACAAAAATATGCGAGAGAAACTACCTGTGGCCTGCAAAGGCTGAAGTATTTACTTGTTGGCTCTTTATTGAAAGAGTTTGCTCCCTAATCTAGCATAACCACCCTCTGTAACAAATGAGCTGGTATTAGAGGAGATTAAATATAACAGTTACAGGGCCGGGGATTTAACTCAGTGGTTCCAGTGCCTGCCTCGAAAGTGCAAGGTCCCGAGTTCGATCCCAGGTACCAAAAAAACCCAAAAATATAGTTACAGGGGATAGGGATTTAGCTCAGTGGTGCCACTGCCTGCTTTGCAAGTACAAGGTCTTGAGTTCAATCCTCAGTACCCAAGAAATAAATAAAACAGTTACAAAAGTAGACTGTCTTCTTTCTGGAATTCTTGTCTTCTCTGTCGCGTTCCTTGTATTTAAGATGAGCACTGTGCCCAGTTTGGGGCTTTTAATTTGAGAAAGACATTAGAGATTCTGGAATATTAATAAGTGAACTTGGACATTATTTAAAGGTTAAATACCTGGGTGTGGTGGTATATGCCTGTAATCCCAGCACTTGGGAGGCTGAGGCAGGGGTCTTGCCATGAGTTCAAGGCCAGTCTGAGCTACATAGTGAGTTCAAGGCCAGTGTGAATACATAGTGAGACTTTTTCTTTTTGCTGTTTTTACATTAGGAAATTTTTATTTAACAGTTAAGTATTCATTTGAATCAGGAATACATGCATGGTAGAAAATTCAAAATATTTTAGAAAGGGTATATGATAAAAAGCAAATTTTTCTTCTATCTCTATCTTCTAGTTTCTCCTCTTGTTCTTAAGGCATTGCACTTAAATTTCTTGTGTATCATTACAGAAACTGTTTGAGCATACATAAACATATTTATAGATATCCTTTTTTACCTAAATGACAGCATACTTCCCCTTACTTTTATACAATTAAATAATGAAGCTTGGAGAATCTTGCATGCTACTGATTCATTCTTTTAATGTACTCTACTATCCAATGGTACAGAAGTCTAATAATTTACATAGTCCTATATTGAAGTTTTTTCATACATATTATT